CACACACACACACACACACACACACACACACACACACACACACACACACACACACACACACACACACACACACACACCGTCTGTCTTCCCAACTTCTTGTAAAACAAAGAAATGTTTTGCTTTGGGTTAATGTCTTTTACACAAAAGGCAGTGCAAGCATTAAACCAAGCCCCTTTCAACCAGCAAACTCCAAATCCTAGTAGTAAAACTGAGACCTATACCTGACCTGTCCTGTTGTAATGTTTTAATTACGTTCTCACTAAACAGAAGGATGCGATATGTGCTTGTTTTCGACACATACACAACATTTCCCATCACTTGCAATACCTTGGTTTTAAATGAAAAGGAATGTGAACTAACTTTAGATTCTAAAAAATATTGTTTTCCTCGCTGAACCTGTTCACATTTGTATGTAAAACAAAAAATGTATGTAGAGGTGTGATTATTGGCCATACAGGTTATACTGATCATACAGAGAAGAGCCCTTTGCTAAATAATTGGGGATTTGGGGAAGCTCTCCTTTTCAGGTTTTTGTATCCTTACAACTATTAAAGGCTTAAACTCTTTCCTACTCAATTTCCCTGCTGAACACTGCATGTCTTCAAAACGCATGACACGCAGGGCGAATTTCACCCAAAAGTAACTGCCAACTGAATCTGGAGATTTGGATTTAAAGCCACTCTGGTGATCGAAGTGTATGAGGATAATATATCCTTTATTTATTCCTGTAGTGAAACTGATCCTTTAACTTGTCCTACACATTATGATGCAGTAGGAAGCCACTGTGCAGAGAATGTAAGCCAATACCTTCATGAAGAACACAGTGATAGGCGAAGTAAGTGAACATGTTTGTGATAGCATGAGCCCCCTGAGGAAACCTACACAAGCACAGGGAGGACATGCAAATGCAACTCAGAGGGACTAATGAGGAGAATATTGCTGAAAATGAACATGAATTAACTAAATCTAGTAATTGAACCCAGAAATCCATGTTTCCCAACGTCACAGAGAAAGGGATCAGAGTACTACTCTTGCACAGATTTCTATACAAACTGAAGTGTTTTTGCAACCACATGAGTCGCCCTCTTCTGGCCAGTAAAAATAACGCAATGAAATGACTTCACTTTTCAGACACAGAGGTTATATCCATCTTTGACTGTGGCAGCTGATAATATTCAAAGAACTCTCACACACAAAGTTTAACACACGCAACCGAAATATCCCATGGTATAAACAACAATGATCTGTTTCACTTAACCTGTCAAGTTCATATACATACAACACACATTTGGCAATCTTCCGACCTCAGCGATTCCTCTGCGACTAACGTGAAGAATAAATAACCCAGTGGGATTCAGTTCCAATATCACAGACCCCGCTCGCCAAAAAATTAACATCAACATAATAGCATTAGCCTGCTCATAGTCATCCATTAGAACTACTTAGTGGAGACAGACAGACAGACCAGGGAATATGCCAGTGCTCTTATTAAAGCCCCTCTTTCATAAGGATAAGCACCAAGCAAAGAGCTACACTATATAAAGAATGATGCCACAGGTTTAAAAATGGCTCATGATACCTAAAATAGGTAAAGCAAGTGACCAGACTGACTTAAAAGCAGAATGCTCTTATGCTAAAACCACCACTTCAAAGCAAATGCCTCAGTTCCTGCTTTGTTGTAGGGATTAATTCATTAAGAGTCACATCCTTCTTGAAATTCTTTACTGTGAAAACAGCACTGCATGTTTGTGAGCTCAGTTGTAGATGCCTATACATGTTTAAGTGCTTGAATTCTTAAAGTGTGCAGTGGATCTCAACCGAGTCATCACAGGGTAAAGGGAGTGGCTGTTCAGTGGAAGCGCTGTTCCTTGTAGCTGAATGTGCTAGTTGGCAAACTTGTGAATGGAAGATGTGACACAATCAGTTGCAGCTATATTTGCCAGAGGGATAACAAACAAGTTGGAGGGCAAGTAAGTGAAAGCTGTAATTCAAGAATGGTTGGTGATGTATTGTGACATCTTTTTACATAGATCTACTCATAAAAACTTCTATTAGCTTTTGTTAAAACTAGAACGACTGCAAAATTCCCTGTATCCTAAAACTGCTAAGATACATATTCATGAGCTGAGTGTGTTGCAATAGTGCATCAAGTACTTGTTTAGCAGCTAAAAAACAGTGCAAAGTTTGCACTCATAGATTATAATCACGAAATTCAAACAACACAATTAGAAGCCACATCTGGCAGCTGTAAGAATAAATGAGAAAATATCGTTTCCCATCTGGCTTCTTAGTCTATGCCTCTGCTCTTTATCTCTTTACCCCAGACCAACCTCTTTCCCATCTTTTTCACTCTCCTGTCTTTTATCACTCTCTTGCTCCCTTTATGTCTCTGAGTATCTCTCTCTCTCCCCCTCTCACTCTCTCTCTCTCTCCATCCCCGCCGTTGCCAAGGCAATAGTGTTTTGTGGAGGCAGCTGGTTAGGGCTCATTTGTCAAGCTGCTGACCTGCCCTCTCTTGTCCTCACCCCTTTTGCTTGCACTCTCTTCTACTTTTTTCTGTTATTCGGTATACAAAAAACACTGAAGAGCCTAATTGTCATACTTGTATATCCCAAACAATCATGCAGTACAAGTGGAAATGGCATATTTCAGTCCGGTCCAGTTCCCTCATTATGTTTATGAGTGTCCATCTAAAATGATGTGTGTTTTTCCATGTGAGCAATAGCTTGGCAATGATTTAGAGGTATATACAGTAAACAAAGCAACTGCTTATGGGTTAGCGTAATGAGCTTGACAAAGGATTCTGAAACATTGATTGTGCTCTCCTTCATGAGAAAGACTGTGGCAGCCTGCCGGAGATAAAAGCTGATTTTGTGGAAAGTAGGGTGAAAAAACGCCAAGATATGATGTCAGTCTTGAGCCTCTCTCCTCATTTGCTACATGTTTCCTACACTTTTTCCCAATGCTTGTGCCTTCATGTGACTGCAGCTATGATCTTAATCATCCATTAAAGATACTAATCTTTTTAATTAGTCAGTAAGTCATCCAAAAAATAAGTCACAGAACTGGAAATCTCAACCATGTTTGTGGTTTTGGTGGAACATTTTTAGTGGAATTATCTGATAATAGCCTGCTGTGTGGTACGGCCTTTCCAATAAAATTCAGCTTTGTTAAGTGTTTTATTAGTCTGCGACATAGCACTAATTAGCAGAGTCTGCACTGGATATGCACCAGTTTATGGATGTAGCTTGCTAACTAAGTTTGCTAGCTTAACACTGTAATCAGGGTGACTTCCAGCTCCAAAAAAACAAATGGGATGACATCAGTAGTGCTAACACTGAGGCAAAATCCAAAGCAAATGTGCAAAGACGCTATGGCTACATCCATCCTTTATATACAGTCTCTCATCTAAACACGTGTCAAGCTGTTACCAGAAAATGGCAAGCGAAAAATGATTGAATTTCACACAATAGGACGTGATTTGTTTCAGTCAGTTTACTACTCCAGTCGTTTAAGCATTAGAAACAAAATCATTTCAAAGCTGAAGTCAAATGCATGCACGGTAAAAGCGCGCGCAAGATCACAGGTGTCTCCTACCTTTAGATGTGCGATAACAATGTACTCTGTAACACGAGAACACAGACTTCACACCTCATAAAGTGCAAGCTTGTTCGTGTGTCTGTGTTGAATGTGTGTACATGTAAGGAGGAAAAAGATTCAAGCAGATATTGTTTCACACTTTGCTTCATTGTCCAGAGCAACAAAGGAATTTATTAAAACAAATACGAAACACTGCACAGACACCAACGCACACACACACATACATAGTTTTAATCATCCGTCCTTAAGTGGAAAAACAAGTGCTCTCCCACAACACTTGTCATCTTTCTCTACTAATTAATTCAGAAATGTTCACTAATGGTACTGCTCTGACAGAAGGGTGCAATGTGTATGGGTACATGCATGTGACCTACAAACCCCATCAAGCCTCATTACCACCAGCATTCAAACGTATGCGTGTCCATAAATATGTCGGTTTGTTTATTGGCATGTGCATTTTATAATGATACAATTACATCATGCATGCTCGAGGTTTAGGAACTATGCAAACTGTTAATGAAAAGATGGAGACAGTTTGATGATCTGCAGGTGTTAGCCAAGTGTTTTTTTTATTGTGTGGTTCTCATTTAGGATTTTCTTTTTTGCAAACTTGACGAAACATTTAAAATATACATTTTACTGTGACGCAGTTCTCTTGAGCATAGAGAAACAATTCAAGTAAGGGAACAATGAAATCTATATCGATGCTACTGTGAAGTAAACCTTGATCAAACCGAACCTCGATGACAAGCAAAATGTTAAAAAAAAATCAAATTTCTTTACCATCTGAATGTATTTTTAAAAAGCACACAGGCCTACTCATAAAAACACACAGACACATCCCACATTTCTATAGCTTCTAACCATGCATCTCAAAAGGCCGATCTGTCCTGGTTATTAGAGTGTGAACTCCCAGTCTGCTCATCGTGTGTATGCATGTGTGTGTGAGTGTAGGAGGGAGCCTAATTTGATTCTCAACTACACCATGTTTCTCCACTTGCTGCCTGTTTATGGAAATTGCATAATTGGTATGTATCTATGTGTGCATATATTTGCTCCCTCGCGGGGTCAAAAAGTGACTGATTGCACAGCAAAACAACTGATGTTGTGTTTTGTAGACGTGTGTGCACCACCAGTTTGCTTAGATGTGTAAGTATGCATGTTTTTTCATATTCGCATGTCATTGTGCATATTCACCTGCATGATCTGTTTACTCAACTTTTTGACCTCAGTATGACGGCATGTGAAACAAGGGCTCGCTCTCTTGGAAAACACTGCTTCGCTGATTACTAATGAACCACACGTTGATTGTACTTTAATTTTTTCTATATAATATCCAACCTGACTGCCCTTTCCATTTTCTAAAAATACTGTTTCAATGACAAGCTTTAGAAAAACTGAATTGCTGGCCCAGTTTGCATTAAGTAGTCTGCCAATTCCATCAGGATCATCTATAATAAAAATAGAGCCACTTAGACCGCTGGAAGGTGCTCTGGATAAAACTGCTCATCATAAGACAGGTGTTATGATACTAGTTTATAATAGCATGTATGCAATACAATAGCAGTGGTAATACAGGCATATACAGAAAAACACATGCAAATTATTTTGTCCAATATTTAGTTTTAAAATTTGGCATTTATGTGCCTTTATTGTAGCTTCTTGTAGATTTCTTGCTACGCAAAACAAACAGCTGTGGGTGGAAGCAGTTCACTTGTTGATCAGATTGTTTGATGAGGGACTTTCATCTGCTTTTTCCCAGTAAAGGTTTTAATGAGGCAGTTTTGGATACTAGAAGCATTCTTTCTTTCACTCCACCTGAGCTCACCTTGATGGCTCCGCCTCTTTGCTGTCTGTGTAGACAGACTCCATTCTAAACAATGACGACACCATCCTCACTTTGGCTTGTGTTATCAGTCTTTTTGTGGGGCTGCTTGAGGTTAATGTTGTATTAGTTTTTATTCTTATGCACACTCCTAAATACATTTCCACTGCAGGTCTGATTTTAGTTACAGATGTAGTAGAAACGCTTACATGGATTAAATCACTGAAGCAAAGAATTTGGCCCAAGGATTTTTGTAATAGAGTTATTTAAGTTACTCGATGAGTTGTTGCAGCCCTAGTAGTAGTACTTTAAATTACTGCCTCCCAAGGAGTTCTTTGACTACATCCTGTTTACACTTGGAAACCTTCATCACTGTATCTTGCAGTACTATTATTGTGGCAAAATCTGCATAAAGACAGACAAATAAACATCTCCCAAGGGCTCAAAACCATCATTGTGGTAATTCCAGCAACATCTTGTCATGATGACGGATAGACAGACCTACAAAGTGAAAACAATACCAGTGTCAATGTCACAGCTGGTAAATTCAAGCATCTGTATTGGCACATTAAACCACAAGGTGGTTATAGCATAGTACACCCACACAAACACAAATGTGCAGCACTGAGCTGGTAGAGAGGTAATTTGACAGCACTGAGCACTGGATGTGGTGTTGTCTATGTGCTCTTCCTATTGTTCTCTCTCACACACACAAACACAATCATGTACATTTCCGTCTTTCACAAAACACACGAGGCAAGACCTCACAAGCTACTCTGGAGACAAATTGCACAGGTCCTCTTTCAGACGCAGAGATACAAAGGAGTGAAAAAGAAAATTGGAGAAAAAAAAGGCAGGGGCTAGTACGTATAGAAAATTACCACAACTTTAGAGAACTACAACTTTTCTCTTTCTCACTCCCTCCTCCGTCCACCCCACTACGCTCCCATCACTGCCTCCATTCACACTAATCTCTCTCCTCACAGTACCACCCCTATCTCTCTCTTTCTACCTCATTCCCTCTCCTCTGTCACAGAAAACAGAATCAGGGTAGAGTCAGCCTCGAGGCAATCATATTTAGATCAGCTATTTTGTAATTTCTTTTTTCTCAGCAAAATCGTTCAATGCTTTTCCCTAAAGGGACATGTCAGGGCCCCAATGGCTCATTTCTGACTTACACTGTGTATTTCTGTGGGAATGCATATTTTCTAAAAAAGCCCAGCATGGGACAAGTGTTGCAAAATAATTAGGGCCATAAATGGTATGGAACGGTAAGTTGTCGTTACTATTTGTTACCATATTATTTGTTACATGTATCTGTCCTTAAAAGTTTAGTTCCTTTGCTGTGCTTGCAACAGCATAACCAGTTTCTGGCCATATATCAAGAGCAGCTATTTTTTAACTGCATCACATTAAAGGCGTGAAACTTTATCCAGAAGACAAGGCACAGTGTAGCATCCTCCTTTTTATATGCAGCAACTGCTTGACTCCAAGGCTTGGAAAGAAGGATGGTACAGTGAAGTATAAAACCACAAAGTTAAAATACTTTAACTAAGATTTATGCATGTGCACAAATTAAGTTACCATGTTGCAGTCATGTGTGTTATTCTTAAATGAACGCTCAAGTTTTGGTTAAATTACTGTTAAAATTGCAGATATTCTATCGCTCGCCATGACATGAAGTCTTAATTTTTGGTCTCTCTGTTATTATTATTTATAATGCTTTGGGGTTTCCTTTTGATTTAGCACCTACAGTTTTAACTTATTCATATAAAAAAGTCACCACAGATGAGTTATAGGCACACTTACTCCCCAAGTGGTTAAAGGACTTGTCTGGGAATCAAACCCCTGATTTCCCAATAGCAAAATGGCTTCTACACAACATAGATAACATTTGTGGCATGTTTAGAATACTTTTCACTTCAGGCCAATCTCCTGTAGTCTACAGTCATCACTTAGCAACTCAGTCTTCCCCTAAAGAAACACACATATACACACAAGCATACACACACACACACACACACACACACACTCACAGTAACCATGATAGCCGGATGTACAGTCCATCATTTGATTTGGACAAAGTATTATTAAAACCCACTTATTCCTGGCTGTAAGCGCTATAAGCTGTGGAAACTATTCTGTCTGCCACAGGCTGAAAAAGCAAGTCCTGCAGACATCTGCTTCAAATCTGACCTAAAACAGTAGAGGCTGACACAGAAAGAGTTTAAGACTACTGTTACTAAGACAGCGTCTCTCCTATTCATTCATTATGGCAGCACACTTTGTTTAATGTCATTACAACTCTTCTTCCATCTCTCATACAAACTGAACATTTCCAAACAAGCACTGTAAGCAAACCTTTGGTTTCCAAGGCAAACTACAGTAACCAATAACTGAAGCCAGCCAGCTAAAAGAGCACAGTGCTTTCCATCTCTTTCCGCACTGCTAAACAAAGTCAAGTAAAGTTTATTCCTGTAGTTCAATATCAGCTTTAAAATCTCATTTACTTATTATGAGACCACACCAGCAGCAGTTCACAGTCGTGCTCATGTTCTCTGTGAAGATAAAGAACCTCCTCCACAGCCAGAAAAGCTAAGATAAACAGTATGGGCAAAGACTCACTAACTAAACACTCTTAGCATCTGATTTATAGGTCAGAAATCCATTTTATAAGAAAGCAGTACAGTTGATTTAGTGAAATCATTTCATCAGTATACTCAGTATCAGTTACTTCAGCCTCATTCCAGTTGCTATACTGGGATCGATTGAGTGGTCAACGAAACAGTGATGGTGTGGATATTTAAATGACGGTTGTTATACAGCCGGTAACATGTGATGATATTTAGGGATGATCACAGCTCCCATAAATAAACATAATGCCTAAAGGTAACAAGGTAAACTGCTGAAGTATGTTACAGGGTATATATCTCGCTAAAGGTACAAGCCCAACAACCTTACAGAACAATGCCCAGAAATGATAATTCGCAAGAGTATTTTACCTTACTGTGAGAAATACACAATACAGAGCTCCTATTAAAAGAACCAACAGACATTCAGTTTTACATGTATACAGCTACAGGAGTGCATGTGTGTAGGCACTTTAGCAACACTGAATGACTGCATTATAACAAAGCAGACGTCACCATTAAAGACATGAGATTCAAGTCAATCACAGTTACAAGGAGAACAAATGTATACAAAACTATAGTCCACAGCAAAACTAATATGGCCACCAAAACTGGCCAAGAACCACCGCGTCAATGTGTAAATGAAGTCTGAACAACATAATGATACAATGAGCTTGATATTTACTGCTAACAAGGTTAAAACAGCTATTAGGAGACTAACATACAAGGCTACAGTCTAAGTACAATGCCATTTACCTGTATCAGCTGTACAGTTGTACTGTCAGCATGTCACCTAATGTTTTGGCAAAAAAAAATTCTTTATAATGGTTGGTAATGAAAGGACTTCAGTTTTGAAAAAATATATACACAAGAATAGAAGACTGTGAAATTATCTTCAGTTTCAAAGCATATTGACCAGTATTATACAAACATTAGACTGACAGCTGGAGCTAATTTCCCACACTTGGTGTGGGTCAGGATGACGACTACAGCAGCTGGCCGTGAGCAAAATCAACAGTGTGGTAAAAGTCCTCTTCAAATGTGGTCAAATAGCCATCACAAACCTCACCATGAGTCACCATCAGATTTTAAGCATTGGGTTGAGAAGAGCTTTAAACTGTGCCGCTCTTATTTCACAGCAGGGATCTTTAAATGGAGCTCCAGTGGAGTGCCCTTTTCAACTAATAAAGATGACAAATAAACTTCAAGCTGGCTTCGTGAGTGGTTTGTTCTGGGATGTTCTCACACATTATTAAGCCACCTAAAAGGGCAACTGTTGTTGGGGTTTTTTAATCTAAATTAAGTTGACTAGATAGATGTCCCTCCTTAGCATTTCTCCAGCTCCCTGCTGTCTGTTGAGTTCTTGTACCTTTTCCAGTGTCTAGGTCCTCTTTGTTTTCCACTGCATGACTTACTCAAAGAAAGCTCAATGCATCTCGTTCCAATTCAGCGCTATGACATTCGAATTACTTGAAATTCAAACAACCGACCACCCAACAAATAATTCACTTTCCCAACTTCTCAGCACTGGAACTTATTAGTTAAACTACACTACAGAGTGCAAAAATCAATAAAATCTACAGAAGACTAACATCACAGCATGGCAGAGACCAAGGCAGAGGTCTGAACAGTCTGATGAAAATAAAAGAAGAGCATAAGTAAGGCAAAGTAGGAAACAGAGACAAGGCAAAAAGCATAAAGGGGGTGGGGCATTGTTGATTTTGTTGTGTGCTGAGAGAGCAGTCCACCTTACCGCTCATCCCAACCACCACATCGCACTGACACCATCGCCTTTTCACTTCATCACCAATAACATTTGCAACATTACACTGACAAAATGCATAATAAACAATTACGAAAAATATGAGGATAATGACAGTGAAGCTGATCATTATCTACATGAAAACCAATTAATGATTTTAAGAGAGACTGATCAAAGTTACTCACAATATCTCATCGTTTTGAAATTCCAGGACGCCGTGAGAGTCTTCAAAGTCTTCTCCACCACCTCGCGCTGTTCCTTCCAAAGTCTTGTATGGCAGCATGACCACGCCACGAGCCCCTGAGGTTCTCAGCACCTTCACCTCCATGGTGCCAACGCTCTCGCTGACATGGCATACGGGCTCCTCAAACGTAAAGATGCCGGCATGATCGTCGTCAAAGATGGTAACGGTTGCTGTGGATGGCATGCCGAGACAGGCCACTGAGTCAACGTGATTAGCTGACTCGCCCCCCTCCTCAGGTTCCTCGCCTTCTGATGTCAACACTTTGACATTGGAAAGGTGAATCAAGAAGTTTTCATCCTCCTCAAAGATGTCATCATCAATGATCCCCACACGGACCTCCTTCATCGTCTCGCCAGGCTTGAAAACCACTACACCCTCGGTGAACTCGTAGTCCGAGCCAGCGTTGGCTGTGCCATCTTCTGTCCGGTACTCCACAGAAACCGTCTTGCCCAGGTCGCCGCCACGCCGCACCACATTCACTGCCACTGTGCCACAGTTCTCAAGACACTGGTAAGAACCGGGCTCAAAAAAGATTTTGGAGACAGGATCGTTTTCGCCAGTTTCTGAGCGAACCTCGTGCATGCTCACAGCCTTTCGTGCTTGATCAGCAGCATGTTTTTTCAGGATGTTGCCAGCACCTGTCATCAGTCGGGTGGCCTGGCATCGATAGAAAGCACGGCTCTTCTGCTGCTGGCTCAGGACTTGGTAGTTGGCAAGCTCAATGAGTTGCTCCACCTGGTAAGAGAAAATACAAAAAGCCACAAAGAGTGCAACAACATGCATTAATAGTAGATTTCCTGGGGGTATAAATCCCGACTCCCAGACTGCTGAAACAGTATCCTATTTTATGTTTTTAAAAGCTGTGTGTCACTGAACCAATGTGGTGGAGTTTCATCAAGCTCGGATGGATAAATAAGATCTAACTACATGTCACATCAATGACTACTGAACAAGAAACTGTCAAATAGCAGTAAAGTTATAATGAGTCAAACACTTACAGTAAGTCAAGCACAGTCTGGGGGAAAAACAGATGTAAATTACATGCCAAGCCAACCACTTAGTTCTCTTTCACAAACCCTTTTTCTTGTAGAAGGACAAAAAAATGTTATTTGAAAATGTTTTCAGATTTCAGAAATTTCGTCTTTGTGTAAATAGTAAGTCTGCAGCATTTTCTTTGTGAGAGAACAAATGAAAATACTGCATATTTTATTTGGAAATGTCTTTGGTTTCCTATTAATTTTCTATATTCACCAATACATAAGTGTGAAATTCACTTGTAAATATATATAAATGCCTGAATTTATTAAGAATTTATCTAATATTCTGCAACAGACTGGTGATCTGACCCTGTAAAAATGAAAGCAAACAGCAGTAGTTTTATATATTGCAGATTACCTTTGGTCTTGTGCAACTAGAGCAGCAATAGCAAGATATATTTCTGACTTTGTTACAAACCTCTTTGTCAGGATGTTTCTGTTTAAGCTCCTTCAGGATCTTGGCCATATCTCTCCGTGTTTCCTCCTCATCCAAGTCCTTCTCATCTATATCTAAGCCCAGTGGACCATCAAGGAAGTCAACACCATGAGAGTTCAGCATCTTTCCATCCATCTCAATGTCCACCTTAAAACAGAAGCAATAGAAGGACGGAAGGAAGAAGTAATCAGTACACCTCATTTAAGATTTTGTCAATATATCAATTCTTTAGGCGCTCTTCTGTAATCTCAAAGGTCAAGTGAGAACTGCATGTATGTGATGAGAACACAACAACAAGCATGAAATCAAATAGTGAGTGTTTGTGTGAATCCAGTCATGTGCACATGTTGGTGTCCAATAACACCCCTCAATCAAAGCAAAGAAGGGTGCTACCAGACACTGGTCAGTGAGGGTTTTATCTGTCAGTGTTTCAAAGCTCAGTTCTCACTGTTTTATTCATAAAACTATTTGTCTTGTCAGCCAAATTTAGGTCAAGAACTGTCCGTTTCTGCTTGAAACTTTTGCTTTCACATTTCCAAAGGTTTACTTTACATGTAACCATGGTAAGCTAACAGTACCAGATCCCAAAGGATGGGTAGGTAATATATTAGTCATCAGTATTTGGATGTCACTTTATTTTGTAGCTGTCAGAATAAAGAAGTAATCTGTTTTTCACTGACATTGCATTTTTCGTAGAGAATCATTTCATTGATGAAACGTCCTTCGTCTCTTTAAACGGGAAGGCAAGAAATACTCATTTTTTCCCTCAGGAACATATTTGAATTTAATTTAGTGATTTTTTTTTCAGAAGATGAAATGAAAGTGTTCTTCATATACTTACGGAGCACTGATTCTTTATAATGCCATCAAGCAATAACACCATGGGCAATTTTCAAATGCAGAAGAAGAGACAACCAGGCTTCAAATTAACTGTAGCAAATCAACACAATCTACACCACAGTACTGAAGATTTAATTAGATGTGTGTGATGCACTTCATCTTCACATGTGTCATCAGATAATAGTCAAAATGAAAAATTAATAGCTGACAATACTTAAGAAGGTATTTGTGCGTGTTTCATAACAACAGTTTAGCATGGCAAAATGTCATTCTGTAATACAGATTTGAGGTACACATTACTCATGAACACTCTTCACGCACATACCTTAGCACCTTATCTTTTCCACCATGTGTTTGGATGAGGACAGCTTAATTATGTTTTTACTAGCTGACTCTTCTCACGGATATGCTTTAGTTATAACTGTTAAGATTTTTATACGACACTAAGGAAGGCATTTTTTCTTCTGCAAAACTTGGTAGTAAGACATTGGTGCGATGTGGGAATAAGAAACTGCTACAACAACAAAGTCTAACAGGGCAAATCAAGCAATTTAAGGAGGTTCCAAAAAGGAAAGGTCAGGCACATTAAAACTAATTTATTTGAACTGAAGATAAGAAAACTGTTCATTGTCCTGTCCTCACTCTTGTGTTCATTGCAAAAAACTGTACATGCCAAAGCATAGCAAAGAATAGTAGGTAGTAATGTGTGTCTTACCCTTTCTGACATTTTATTCAGTGCATTCCCCAGATTTCAGTAAATGACTAGTTAAATGCAATAAACAGTTATATGCTTTATACAAAAAATGTCTGTGGAAAATGAACCCTGGTGATAACGGCTGTGGCAACAGTGACAGCATCATACCTTGGAAGGAAGTGGACGATCACCCTCGGTCTCAATGATCATGCCACGCTGCTTGCCAGTGCGGTAGCGCTTGTACACATACTTGTAAAACAGCAGGCGGCGATCGGCTATCCAGGCGAACACCACACAAATGGGGAAGAAGAGGAAAGTGAGCAGCCCCTCCCACACCTGCACAACGCCAGGTGAGATCACTGACAGAATCAGGTAGAGCCAAATGTAGGCAAAAATACTCCAGGTGGCCGTGACAAAGAACACACGGAGGTGCTTGACCTTCCTCGTCTCGCCATCAGGAACGACATACACACAAATACCGATGATGACAAACATGTTGAACGCTGCAGAACCCACAATAGTGGAGGGTCCCAGTGTGCCAGCCTCAAACCCATGACCAATAATTTCTATAATGGACAGGAGGATTTCAGGTGCTGAAGAGCCCAAAGCCATGAGGGTAAGGTTGGAGACCGTTTCATTCCAGATCCGGACAGTAGTGGTGGTGGTTTCTCCATTGGGTTTCTTAATGGTGATCTCCTTTTCCTGTGATGTTATAACCTCTATTGATGCCATAAAGCGGTCTGCGATGATGGACACACCCAGGAACATGTAGACCAAAGCCACAAAGTAAACAGTTGCACGAGCGACCTTGTCTCCAAATGATGGGTTTTGGGGCTCCCAAATAGGCAGAATCACCCCATGTGAACACTGCTCAGGTTTACTGCATTCAGTTTTATTGGTGGACACAGCTGAAACAGAGCCACCCAGGCTTGCTTCAGGGGGTGCCCCGGCCAACGAGGGATGGAGATTAAGGAAGAGGATCACCGTAACAACTGTTAACCTCATGGTCGGGGACAGGCGGGAGGAGTGATCCCGACGGGCCATGTTGGTGTCAAGACCAGTACTCTGAGGTGTTAATGAGGATGTTGAACCTTCAGAGAGAAAACAACAGGAGAAAATACAAAGTATTATTAGAAATAAGACAAATTAATGTTGTTGAAAACAGGAACCAGTGGGGAATTCTAACATTTAAATCTCCTTTAACATGATTTTTATAATGTAGTGATTTTCACTGGAAGATATTTGTTTACTTCAATTTACTTACACTAAATGATGCTGCCTGCAAGGTGCCAATATTATGAAATATTATGATAGAATGTTGTACAAGAGCACGTCAGCATTGATAAAGTACATGATAAGTTGGGAGGTGTGTGACTAAAACCAAATAGCTCAGTTCACATGAATGCATTAGGACCTTGTAAACACAACACCACAGAGATTAGCAGACATGTTTCAGGGCAGATGTTTGCATAGTTGTTTAAGGACACCAAGTTTGAATAATCACAGCAAAGATAAACTTGAGCTCCTGAGCTCAGCACTTTGGCTTTTCAGGGAGCAGCTTCTGAAACTTCCCTGCAGCGGTCCTGTAGCAATAATACTCTGCTCTACCTAATATAACACTGCTGGCAGTGGCCTTTATGAAAACAGTCTACTTCTCTCAGCAACAGTAACTTGTGAATAAGGTGGCTTTATTAAGACATCTTTTAAATATCACACACCCATAAGATGCCCACAGAGCTTCATCAATCTCCCCTGGTGAACACTTCAGAGAAAAGGTGTAGCATTCTGAGTAATTATTTCAGATTGTATTTTTTAATGCCTGATTTGGGCTTATTGTTTCCAAAACACACTTTAGCATTGAGATGCGGGTAGTTCACAAATTAATCGTGTGCTTATTTGTGTTTTAAGTGTAGGCATTCACACAGACTAATCACTTTTGTCATAAAAAGCCCATGTAGTGACATTTAATGACAGGTACCAAAGAAAATGAAAAAAAAAAACATGCAAACTAGGGCTGCCACAAACGATTATTTTGATAGTAGACTAGTCACCGATTATTTTTGCAATTAGTCGACTAATCAGATCATGCATCTATTGGACGTAAAACTACAGCTTATTGCACCAGCATGCATCTGCTCTTATATCATTAGCTTACAGCTTTAAGTGTTTAAGGTATGTGCTAACTAAAAATAAAGACAAGATGATAGTTTATTAAATGTTAATGACATTTGCAGATTGTTTCGGTGGAGTTTAATAAACTCAGCCGTCTGCTCCTTGCTATCTAAAATATAACAGTATATTCTCGAGCATCTCACACTTCTGATAATCAGTTGTCTGCTTGAAGTTTATTCAGCTGTGTAAAAACTATAACTTTAATCTCAGCCAAACCGGTTTACTCAGGGACAAATTAAATACTGAAAAAAGCCAAACAATAACATTTTTAAGTTATCTAAGTGACTTATATATGTTTAACCTGAGTAGCGAAAGATGGCTTGGATTTGAAAACGATTTGCCAGGAGTCCAGTGTTCTTACCGGTTCTAGTGAGCCTTGCCCCCGGCTAGCTATCGAGCAAGTGGGTAACAGACATCTCCAAAAACGTTGGAGCGCTTTTGCAAATATGTGGTGTCTTGATAAACTGAGCAGATATTTGAGGTTTACACAGCTACATTCTCACCTGAAAATATGTTAAACTTTATTTTGTGACCCAAAAAGAATAATAAGAGTAATATTAAAACTAACTAGCTGCTGCCATTGTTGACAACTATTCTGGGCCGCTATGAATTAGGGGTTTAACGGCAGCTGGCATACTTGTACATGCAGTGCTGCCATCTTCTGTTTCAGTCCGTTATTACACTCGTAAATCCTACTACTCATTCCTGCGTCTTTTGGGATCTTACAAAGCTTCAAACGACGCATCGACTAATAAATTAGTCGTCGACGATGTTAATAGTCGACGTAATCGTGACTAGTCGACTAATCGTGGCAGCCCTAATGCAAACTGATACAACTTAGTCCTAACATCAGACTCGTATCTGAGAATTAAATTCTTGCTCCAAGGTAAACAACATAATTGGAAATCTGGCACTGCAACACCTAAAATGTATCATCATAAATACAAATCACTGAAAAATAACGTGGATATTTTTCATAAGGCCGCTCATTTTTTATGGGAATTAATCAAACATATTGGAGCATTGGGACTCTGCTCTATAACATGATGAGTCTATTAGTGGACTCAAGGCAATTCTCTGGCATGTCTCTATCTTGGTGGCCTTGGAGTCTTTGCCTCATCTGTTTCTGTATTGTATGCACTTTTGTATGCAACAATGTGATGGTCAGACAGCAGAGCAGTAGGCAAAATATTAGAAAGTACTTTATCTGAATGAAAGGAGGAACATCCATCCATCCATCCATTCGCTTCCGCTTATCCTTTTCAGGGTCACGGGGGGCGGTGGAGCCTATCCCAGCTATCATAGGGCGAGAGGCAGGGTACACCCTGGACAGGTCGCCAGTCTGTCGCAGGGCCAACACACAGGGACAGACAACCATTCGCACTCACATTCACACCTAGTGGCAATTTGGATATCCAATTAACCTATCCCCACAAGCTGCATGTCTTTGGACGGTGGGAGGAAGCCGGAGTACCCGGAGAGAACCCACGCAAGCACGGGGAGAACATGCAAACTCCACACAGAAAGATCCCGGCCTGATGTTGGAATTGAACTCAGGACCTTCTTGCTGTGCGGCAACAGTGCTAACCACCGTGCCACCGTGCTGCCCTGAAAGGAGGAACAGAAAATATTAAATTGCTCCAAGTGAAAGGATAAACTTAGAATTGCAATGTTCATGTGAGTTGTAAAAAAGTGCAGTTACACTGTAGTTTGTAAATACTGCACAGCTTAAATTCGAGTCTCCTGAATTAGTGAAACCTCATTTCATCAAAATTTGCATGACTATAAAAGGTGCTGGGTTGCGGATGGTTATATAATTTAGTTTAAACTTCAGGAGAAGAACACACATCCTCTCCTAGACCATTCCACAGAATTAAAGCCACACAGATTTTGCACGTTTGTATCTATACTTTCAATGCCTCTATGTCTAAATACAATGAAAAGAATCTTGAAAAAAAAAATCCATATTTTCACAGAAAAAAATGTTTTAAATGTTCTTTGACTTTTGCTATAGCACGAAAGTGCTATAGCAAAAGTCGTCATGACTGAACCATAAAATGTGCTTGATTAAAATTAAAGGTGGCCTGCTGTGCTCATTTCCAGCTTGGTGTTACTCCCAGTTATAAATAGACTTTTTATGTGATTCTTGCCTTGGTGATGCCCCACAATTCATTCAGTTTCTGAAAAATTAGATTAAATTAAATTGTCTTCTGACTGGCTGCAGTTCACAACATACAGCACAGCTTGAGAGATCTGAGTTTGCCAAATACATCGACCATGCTGAAACAGAACAAGTGTAGCAAATTAAAACTAATTTACACAAAACAGCAGTGTAAATTAATTTTACCACTTTTTAATTGTTTAAGAAAAGCAATAAAGCAATGATAAAAGAGGTAATCCATTGAATTAAAGAGCAATAACCAGAATTAAGAGACAAAACAAAGCTCAGATCAGAACCTTTTTCAAACAAGCTTTTTTCTTTTTAACTATTCACCCACAAGTGGAGCATGCAACACCTCCAACCTCTCAGTAACCACTCTCCATCGCAAGCTGATTGCGGAGGTTGCCTGCAGGTAGGCAACCTGTCTCCAAACAAACATGGTCTGACTCAGACAGTCAGGTAATGTTCTCCATCTAGCACCTTTATCCATTTGCAGTTAATATAGTGTGGTGCAGCAGCTACGTCAGGAGGGATTTCAGAAAACCTTGTCCAGGTATGAGGTTCTGGCTGGTTTCTAAATGTAGTTATTGTGAATTTCTGTTTAATGTTAATTTTTCTGCACATTAACAGCAACAGTCTTGTGATTCTTGCCACTTTATCATAGATAATCACAGTAATATCACAAACAGACTGTATGTAATTGTTCATTTGACCCCATTCAATCACAAACTGATAGCAGACTGACTCTGTCTTACTGTTGTTTTATCAGTGTCTTGACGCACCAAAGTCTCCTTGAAAATGGCAAGTGACTGCAAGCGGTAAAAGCCCTGGATCTCATCTTTGAAGCAATGATTTAAAGGGTAATGAGATCACATTGCATACATACAAATTCATTGCATACTGTCGCAATAATTTTGATTATGCTGCAGTTAGGAACCACTGTTTTTCCTATGTGACAATAGCTGGACACAGCACAATTTTGCCAAGCTACTACAATAACTATTATAAATATAAATATATTTTTTCAACATGAATAAAATTTTCTGTCCTATTAAGCCAAGAATCCATTCTGACGCTATTCATAGCTAAACACACAATAAAAGATCCTTCAAGAATCCATTGAGAATATAATACAGTATACAGTATGGAGAGTATTTGTGTGTGTGTGTGTGTCTCGCTTAATGGTGTTGAAGATGTTTGCTGGCTAAATCTGTTACTTTTTGTAATGTGAAATCCACCAGTGGTGAATTTAAATATTTGGGTTAAATGGACCAAATGTTTAACTGCTGCCCCGATGTTTACTGAGTGGGCTCTGCTGTGGTGTAAGAGCTTTGTGCTCAGACATTAGGAAAATCAACTCTCAACAAAATTACATGTCTACTTAATTAAACTTCAATTTGCCAAGGTCATAAGCAACCATTTCCCCCTTGATTAATGCTAGACAGCAGCTCCTTGCCTTATATGGGCTTCTTGTGTGGTCACAAAAGCCTTTAGGTTACTTTTCCAACTGATCAATAATTCAGTGTGCTCTGGAATTTGGCTGTTTTCACTTAGAGATGTCATTTTTCTAAAAGGCAGATGGCTGAACATAACACCAAAAGCCAGTTCTTCTCCATTCAATAGAGTGTATGTTCTAAAGCTTCACGACACAATTGGAGGTTATAAAGGTCGCAAAATTTGTAGATATGATCAAAAAGGACAAAAGAAAAATTACAACTGAACCTGGAATAGGTTAGGTTTGTAGAAATTCAGTAAACC